TCAAGATTTCCGCTACCGGTTCTCCGGAACCTGCTGGATTTCACCCCTGCTGTTGGCTCCGAGAAGAAATCAGGGGGGGTCCCTGATCATTTGGTTATTCCGTGTCTTACACGGATGTCTGTACACACACAAACACACCACACACACACACCTACACCTGAGAAGGCACTTGGGGACGATGAGGAGGAGGGTCCTGCATGTTGCTTTCCTCCCTTCTGAAGGTTCCTCAAAGGCTTCGTTCACCGGAGGGAGCCCCTGAACGCCCACAACGTGGACTTTGTGAGGTTTGTGCAGTACACCTACCTCATGAAACTCAGGGATCACATTCCAAAGACCGTCTTGGACAAAAGCTGGCTTAAGCCTCCAGAGATCATGCAACAAGTGAGAACGGGCTTGTGGGAAGCCTCCATGTTCAGGGGCAGTCTGTGGCAGAGTCCAGAGAGGAAGCCTCTGGCTTTGCTGTCTGGCTGTGGGTCTCTTCTCTCTAGGCTGCTGCGGGCGGGGGGGGGGGTGAGGGTCTCTCCGGCTCCTCTGAGGTTAGCTGAGGGGTAGTCAGATTGAGAAGGTCTCCTAAACTTAGGTCCACGTTTGACCTGTACAAAACTGGGGGTTGTGAGTTGGGGCGCCATCTGCTCCCTTAGGAAGAGAACCTGGGAGCTCCAGAGGGGTCCGTGGCTGATTATAGTGTCCATCTCGTGTCCATCTTCTACCACCCAGACCTCTGCTCTTCTGAAGACCATCTGCAAAAGGAACCTTGTCCGGAGATATTGTTGTGGAATGAGCGCAGAGAAGAAGGCCCAGGTGGGACTCCGAGATCTTCTGATGCAGAAGCCGGCCGTTTCCCGTGAGGGTCTTCCTGGTGTCCCGAGGGGGATAAAGTTCTCAATTTTGCTCCCAAACAGATGGAGCAGAAAGCTGTTGCCAGTGCAATCTTCTCCGGGAAGAAGGTCGGCTACGTGGAAAGTCTGAACCAGCCCTTCCTCCACAGCCGACTGGGTGAGTAGCTGAGTGTTGGCAGACCCTGTTGAGAACTTGGCTTGACTCAAACGAAGGGTTCTCCCTTGTTGACTGTCTGGATGTAATTTGGGGGCAGGGGTTCAGGGAAAGCATAGAAGGGTGGAGTTGGAAGGGTGATCCCAAAGACCACCCAAGGGGATCAACACACCCTCCAAAGCACCTGAAACTGAAAGCAGGACAAGAAACAATGGATGGAAACTAATCAAGGAGAGAAACCACCTGGAACTGAGGAGGAATTTCCTGACACTGAGGACAATTAACCAGTGGAAGGGCTTTTGCCTCTGTTCCAAAGACTGGAGAACCATGTGCCTGACATGGCCTAGGGCAGGCTTCCTCAAACTACGGTCCGCCAATGCAGAGTATCCGCCCCGTGGAGTGGTGGGATGAAAAGCAGCTGCCAGCCTGTAAAGAAGTGCTTTAAAAGTCTTTAAAAACAGCCTTTCATGTATTTTCACAGCCATGTGATCCATTAAAACTCTTTAAAAGTCCTTAAAGTTCTTTAAAAGTCTTTAAAAACAGCCTTTCGGGTATTTTCACAGCCATGTGATCCATTAAAACTCTTTAAAAGTCCTTAAAGTTCTTTAAAAGTCTTTAAAAACAGCCTTTCGGGTATTTTCACAGCCATGTGATCCATTAAAACTCTTTAAAAGTCCTTAAAGTTCTTTAAAAGTCTTTAAAAATAGTCTTTCAGGTATTTTCACAGCCATGTGATCCATTAAAACTCTTTAAAAGTCATTAAAAGACTTTAAAAAACAGATTTTCAGATGTTTTCCACAGCCATGTGATCCAGGGCTGGTGGGTGAGTAGGGAAGGGGCTGCTTTTAAAGTAGTGCTTTAAAAGTGAGTGGGTGGGTGGATGGGGGGCATGTTTCCATGTCTCCTAGCCTTTTCAAAATCAGGTGAAGTTGACTGACACTAATTCAAATGCAACTTCAGTATAAAGCCAGGAGGAGGATTCACCCACTGCTTTGATTCTTCCCACATATATAAAGTACACCCACCAAATTGGTTGCTGAACAATTTTGGTAGATCTCCATGGGTGTGTATTACACATGCACAAGTGTGGCAAAAAGCAAATCAGTTTGTGAATTCTAAATTGGCCACGCCCACCCAGTCACGTGACCACCTAGCCACGCCCACCCAGCTGGTCCGGCCACCCCAACACTGTGAGGGACCGCCGTGAATCGGCCCCCTGTTCAAAAGGGTTGAGGACCCCTGGCCGAGGGTTTCCTCACCTGAGCAGAGGGTTGGACTGGAGAGACCACTAAGGCGCCTTAAAACTTCCTCTGTTATCTGGTCCAGCAGGAAAAGTAAGTCCTTATTTAAATGAAATAATGAAGTGAAAAAAATTAAAGACAGTTCTGGCCCAGGTTTCTTCGAAGACCTCAGAGGAGCTTTCTGCCTCCTTCTCTCCTAGGGGAGAGCGACCTCTGCCCCAAAGTCCTGCAGATGATCCGCCACGAGAAGGTCCAGGTAAGGCACAGCAGGGCAGCCCGCAGGTATAAGCGGGGGACGAGCTCCGAGCGGCTCCCACCGTTTTCTCCCGGACTCTGCTGCTGCTGACCCAGCCCTGCTTCAGCCCTTTTCAGCTTCCCTCTTGTCTCTTCTGCTGGTTTCCAGTATGTCACCCCAGTGGTCAAATACGACCGGAACGGCTTCAAACCCCGAGAGCGACTGCTTGTCCTGACCCGCGTGGCAGCTTACGTGGTGGAGACGGCCAAGATCAAGCAAAAGATCGAGTACGCCACCCTCAAAGGTAACCTTGGGCGTCGCTTCTCTTGGGCAGAGGGACTCGGTCCTCGTCCCTGGAGCCGGCCCCTTTGTGACTTTGGAGCAGGAGGGGGGATTCTGCCCTCAGGCAGGCCGCCACCGGTCTAGGAGAGCCGGCGCAGAAGCTAGAATTTTCCACCAAGTTAACCAGGAGCTCTGGCCTAAGTACAGGTATTTTACCCCATCAATATCTGGAAGGCAGCAAGGCTGTTGAGGCCAGGTGCTTTTCAAGGACAAGAAGGCTGCCAATTGGTCTCCGGACGCAATTCAAGGTGTTGGTCATTACCTTTAAAGCCCTACATGGCTCAGGACCAGCGTATCTGCGAGACCGCCTACTGCCACACACCTCCCGACGGCCGGTAAGATCCCACAGGGTGGGCCTCCTTTGGATGCCGTCAGCCGGACAGTGTCGGCTGGCGGGCCCCCGGAGGAGAGCCTTCTCTGTGGCTGCTCTGACCCTGTGGAACCAGCTACCCGCAGAGGTCCA